TTTTAATGATTCTATATTCTTAAATAGTTTATACTTTAGCGGTGGTCCCACAAGATATTTGAAAAAAAAAAAAAACAAATTCTTCGTTATGGCAGTGGCAGAATAGTGCCAATATATAAATAATGAAATTTTTATGCAACTATTTAAACAACATTCGAGTTTGTTACTTTGAGTTGCGATTTTCTTTACTCTAAAAGGGACAAAAATTTAACATTTCATAAAAAGTACATGTCTTGACACTGACTGCAAAAGCTATTATGTGGAAATTATTTCAGTCTTTGCAGTTCTTTGATGTCGACTTATATATTTTATCCAAAGTAAAATTTCTCTTTTTTCGATTAAATTTTATGAGGATTTGAAGAAATCAGTAATCATTGAAGAATTTCATGTTAAATATATTTATTATTTTTTGGAAATATATAATATTTATATATATATATTTCTTAATATTTGGTAATATAATTATTATAATATATTTTTTTTTGTTTTTCTATTTAAAGAAACGTTACCCCCACACTAGGATTTTCTCCTGTATTATTTTTAGGTCAAACAAATACTTGTTCCGTGGGGGATTCGAACCCGCGGCCTCCAGCGCAACAACTCATTGCTAAGTCACTGCGCCACGGAGCCCTCAATAATTATATATTTAATAAATATGATTATTTAATAAATAGTTTTTCTATAAAACATATCACAACAATCATGGCATTACAAATCTAATTATGTACGTATCTTGCATACGCATTATTTACAATTACTCTTTGTACTGATATTGGCTAGATATATTCTACCCGACCTACATGCTAAAACTGCGATCAGACGACGTAGCAGACATTGCCACATATTTTGTTTATTCTATCATTGTGCGCTCTCAACAACAAATGCAATATAATCCCAGATATTGTCATCCTTCTTGAATACGCAATGGTGTAACTTGGAACCTTTATACTTCTCTAACAGAATTTTTGTTAGAGAAGCATAGTGATATAAAATTAAATTCGAAATAAATATTTTAAATATTTTCGTCTACTACAACCTACCTCTACTACCAATAATTTATAATGAAGAACTCATGGTAGCTAATGCAAGAATTTTTATTGTGATTCCTCGGACGCGTAATTTTCTATATTTGAAGATATTGAATCGCGTTTGCTTTTATGCACTTGGGAGTTATGAACCAAAGATTTCGTGACTCGTTCACTTATTGAATCGGGAAAATAGAGTTCGTGCTTGCACATCTTCCAACATTATTATTAATTATCAGTTAACTATCTATATTGACTTGACGGTTCTGTGGCGCAGTGGCTTAGTAATGAGTTTTTGCGCTGGGGGCCGCGGGTTCGAATCCCACAAATAATTGCTCCGGATCTGGATGTTTCTTCTTGTGCATTTTGTGTTTGTAAACTGCCTCCAGTATACAGGAGAAATTCTTAGTGTGGGGGTAAAGTTATTTAAAAATAAATAAATAAAGAAATAGAATATGATTATCATTATTACAGTTTTTGACAAGTCCATTGTTGAACATCCACCACACGTATGCCACAATTGTACTTTAACATTCAGTTACATTATGGGTACAATTTAGGCCACCATGAGAATATATCTTGAAAATACTGAAAATTCCTTGGCTCATTGAAAGATAAAAGCCTCTGCGTCTTATATGTATGTGGAAATATGAATAAAATATGGATTCATCAGTTGAATAAACGAACACCTCGCGCTCCTTTGACTTCGCATTCTTAGATGTGTAATAATGACTTGATTTTTATCTTCATAATTTACTTAGTTAAACTATTATTTTATTCTTAATAAAATAATTTGATGATCGATTAATTATTCACAACTATTATCATCACTATAGTCTATCACAAGGGCAATGCTAAACAGCAACTTCCCCATAGATTACCACAAAGCGGTTGCAGTCCTAAGCCACCAGCGACCACCGACTTCCTGCACGATTGATTAAAATACCACCTTAATTTAGTGGAAGTCTGCCCCACATTTTACTTGCCGGTATGCGGAAATTGAAAATAAATTATATAATTTTTAAAAGAAACTTTTTATTTAATCTTTATAAAATGCTGATTAATAAGATTACCGATTAATCCTCGATTATTTAGAATTTTAATATTAACTAGCTTGTCTCCGCGACTTTATCCGCGTGGAATTTATTACGATTGGATTTCATGGGTTTCAATTTTTTTACGCAGAACCCTAATTCTATTTCTAAAATACAATTAATCCTAAGTTACTCTTTGTAACATCAGCTATCTGCCAGTGAAAGTTTCGTCAAAATCGGTCTAGCCATTTTGAAGATAAGTCGGAAGAAACAGACAGACAGACCAGAAATTTTTAAGCACCGTATGTACTTTTATATGCTTTTAAAAAATCTGTTGTATTACAAACGTATTACAAACAGACACTTTAATTTTATTTATTCGAAATTATTTTAAGGTAAATCAGTTGCGATCAACTCGTGATAGTCGCTTTGGTTGGTCCGGTTGTTTAAGCGGAAACTTAGCGAATCAAGCTACAAAATCAGCTTCACTGGAGTTGTTGGAATGTTTGATCTGGCAGCGAAACTTGGTTGCAGCTTCCAGACTCCATCATTTAATATTCAGAGTCACTCGATGTATTTAGAGATTAGATACTTAAACTTAACTATTACAATCTTAACTTTAGTTTCCTGCTTAAGTAAAACTTGATATTATTGATTTTATGAAATTTTGTTAAAATTTATTTAACAAAATAAGCACATTTTCAATTGATTAATTTTTAACGAAACTGCATGAAGGAAGTACTGGTCAAATGTTAACTAAACTAGTTTATAGCAAAACTTAATCACACGGCAGTTCGGGCAGACTATATGACCAATGCGGTCGATAAACTTCCGTCTGTGGTATCAATTGCGGATTCTGCCACTCACTTCTGCAATATAAATTTGCTTTGTCACTCTTTCCTTGTTCATTATTTCTACTTGATCAAACCACCGAAGCATTTCTTTTTTAATGCTAATCACCATATCTTCTCTCAAACCACATTCTTCTCTTATCACAAAATTTCTCACCCTATCATTAAGAGTCAGCCCTAACATACTTCATACTCGTAGTGACCGTATTTTATAAAATAGTAATTTTATAAAAAATGGCTCGAAGCAATTATTTGTGCGTGCATAAACACATTTTTAGTGCGGGATTCGGAATCAAGCCGCAACGCTTAGCCACTGCGCAGTAAGAAAAGAAGTGGTAACAAAACAGGTTGAATTTCTGAATATAAAAAAGGTATTTTTATCAATGGGAGCTGTTTACTTACTGCTGATTCTACTTCGATAAATTAGTGTAAGTTCTTTTTAAATAATTACGAACCTCAGATTTCTGAAAACCTTTTAGATACTAGCTGTTCATTGGATTGGATTTCATGGGTTTTAATTTTATGCGCGGTATCCTAACTCTTTTTCTAAAATCAAAGTAGCCTAAGTTAATCCTTATAACATCAGTTATCTGCCAGTAAAAATCCCATCAAAATCGGTCAGCCACTTCGGAGATTAGCCGGAACAAACAGATAGACAGACATACAATTTTTTTAAATCGTTTTTTTGTTATAAGTACCGTATATACTTTCATATACATTTAGTAAAAAGCTGTTATTCTGACATTACAAACAGACAATTCAATTTTATTTATTTGTATAGATGTACCAAAGGAACATTTATGGTTTATTAAAAAGTTTTTGTTAATAGTGTGACCAACTTAATCTAGAATAAAATAGAAAATTCAGGCATGCTTCGTAAACTACTTTTTCCATTTCAGCTGTCCTTTATAATAGAAATGGTAAAAGCCAGTACATTCATAAGACATAAATAACAAAAGCATTGTCGGCGGTCGTCTCCGTGGAACAGTCGTAAACGCGCGATGTCCACTGAAGCGAGACTAACGAGCATTGTCTTATTTTACCACAATAGGTCAATTTTCTTAAGACTTGAACCCGACGCACTCATAAATTAAAACTTAATATCTCATTACTTGCAAGCTCCGCCACGCCTACGATTCGACTCTTTGCAAAAAACTCAACCAATTTCAAACAGTCTGCACGATTTGTGATAAACGATTGGCAGCGTTAAACAAAACTGTTAGAATATTCTGTATTTCGTTTTGTATTTCATATGTTCTTCTATTTATAGCTATAAAATGCTTTTAAATAAATCTATTTGTGTTTAATAGATGAAGAGTAAGATAGAACTTATTATTAATATTAAAAACTTTGCAGCCGATTATCATTGATTGCTACGTCATGAACTAGAACTGAATCTAATAAGTACCAAGAATTATATTTACGAGGCTTTCGTTAATGAAAACTCGTCCTACATTAAACTTATAAACAGTGAAAAAATTATCGAAATTCTACCAAACATATGCTCAACTAAACGACGTTAAAAATATTAGGTTATTTCAATGGTTTAGGTAAATAAAATTGAAACACAAAGGACATTGAATAAATTTAAGGTACACTTTTTAAAAAATATGCCCACCTCACTTCTCAAGGGAACAGCTCATTGTGGTGTATTAATTTCCTAAAATTATGTAAACACTACACTTATATTAAACTAATATAACGAATCTTCCGTGACTCCGCATCCACAACGTCAAGAATTAAAAATAAATTATCATTAAATGCGATAGTAACCATAAAAATAATTAAAATTTAGCTATTGAAGTAATTATGTTATTAATTACTTTACAGATAATATAATTATAATACTCTAGTGACCATAAAATTGCAATCTCGAGTGTGTGGCGAGTAATCACACACAGGATATTAAAGGCAACAGTTTTGGGATTGAATCGCACCGCCAATATGAAAATCTCTGTCCATCTACGATTATTTTTAATTACAACAAATAACTTTGAGTATTAGATTATGTTTAAAATACATATAGAGAGTATGTAAGTACTTATGTAGGTGTACGTGAGTGGTGTGTGTTTTACAATCAATTTACTTACTGGAATCTCTGACCCAATAGTTGATGGATTTCGGCGATGACTCAATATAGCACTCTAGGGTAACATCAGTGCCGAGAGGAGCTCCAACGAGTTGATTAGGAACTTGAATTACCGGATGGACTACAAAACAGTACTTTAGTTACAAAGGCCTAATGTTTATATGATTTGTATTCAATTTTTGAATTAGTTTATTTAATATCCACTGACTGTTATTCAGAGATAAACAACAATTACAACGAATTTGCAGTGAACCAATTTTTTTATTCGAAATGAGTCTTAGGTATCTCATAATATTATTAAAATAACAAGTCTATCACCATTAAATTTAGTCGTACTATGAGGTTTACTGACCATTTTTTAGTTTTCTTTCCATTATACCTATTAAGTATACTTTATTTAGAATTGTTATAAACATTTAATATACTATCGTGAATGTATATACGTAAGGAAGATTAAAATAGTAAGACGAAATTTAAATGATGCATGTGCTTTTGCGTGAATTTTTATTCTGTTTTAGGTTGAAGAAAAATCAATGATTTTATGATGGTGTTGATGATTTAAAAACCAATGCTCTAACGTACAATGGACTTTGATGACAATCCTCTTGCTAACAGAAGGAGGCACGCCGTTGCTCGCGATGCACAAGTATGCGCCCATCTCAGAACGAGAAATCTTGTTGAACGTCAGAATGGCATTTTCATACATTAGAACTGTTATAAACAACAAAAAATTAAATTAATATCTTAGTACTAAAACTTTGTTAAAAATTGATTTCCAAAGGATTCGTCCTTTTTAAGAAATACATTTTCTCGGACCGCTGCGAACTATCTAACACGTAATACTTCATTTCAGTGGTTTGATCAAGAGCTATAAATTACCTTGGGTTTTACTTCCATTGCTATGTCTGATTATAATATCCGCTCCATCTTCTCTTCGCCACATAACTCGGGGCTCTGGTTGCCCATGAGCGCGACACGATACTTGAGCAGTACCACCTTCGGGCACCATTATATCGCCTGATGTTTCTTCAGATATAAAATCAGGAGGAATAACAACATTTAGGTATCCCATCTAAAAAAAAGATTCATGTTATAATATTATAGAGTGTAGTAGATGTAGTTTTTTTTACTTTTTTAAAAAACGTTACCCCCACACTAGGATTTTCTCCTGTATCGTGGAGGCAGTTTACAAACATAAGTTGCACGAGAACAAACATTCAGACCCGGAACAATTATTTGTAGGCCTTACGAATATTTGTTCCGTGCGGAATTCAAACCCGCTGTCCCCAGCGCTACAACTCATTGCTAAGCCACTGCGCCCCGGAGTCGTCAAGTAAGTAAGAGGTAACAGATGGAAACTGAAACAGGGCATGTGCAGCAGCATACTCCTAATCACATCTGAAAATAATAAAGAGGCAGGTTGCTAATCCAGCTGCCAAGCTGGCATCTATGGCAAAATTTAGACCTTAATTCAGCAGTAAACTTTTATAAGCTGTAATAAATGTATCTTTGATAAAGTGTACTTTTTATAAGATTTTAATACTTTGAACTTTAGGTAAAATCTATAAATAACTAGTGATCCGCCCCGGCTTCGTTCGGGTGATTTCTGGATCTTGACAACAGCGCCACCTACAGGATCCAATTGAAATGTATTTAAACTATCCAGATACCCACTCAAATATACACAAAACAATTGTCAAAATCATTTGAGCCGTTTTCGAGTTTTTGCGAGACTAACGGACAGCAATTGATTTTTATATAGAGATATGGTCGGTACATTGCCACTTCATCTTTAAGATCCATTGGCCTATGTGGGTTATTTTGTGTCTGCTGCGTCCTTATTTTGAAGTCTATTACGCAAAAATCTTCGAGCATAGCCGTCTCCATAGCTCGCTGAACAACCTTGAGATTCCTCATATGGCTAGCATTGAAAGACCACGTTTCAGATACATGTGTTCGATATTTTTTTCAAGTATCGAAGTGTACGTGACGAGAAGACGTGTCGTAATTTCCCGAACGCTACCCAGACGAGATGAATTCGTCGAATGACCTTAGAGGAATTATAGCTCAAAGAACAAGTAACCGATAGGGAAAAAAGGTTTTCGAGTAGAATCTCATACCGGTAACGGAAGTGTGGGGCGGCCCCCAACTAGATGGAGTGACGATCTGGTAAGAGATGTAGGAAATTAATGGATGCAGGTGGCCAAGAGCTCTGACATTTTTTTCTGGGAGGCCTATATTGTGAAGACTTGTGAGGGGCTGCAATGATGATGATGATATAGTGTTATACGTGTACTAGTTATACGTGGTAGAGCCATGCTGCAGCTATGTTATGGTTGTTGTACGAATGGGTTGGCCCGACCATGGAAGGACAACGCTGTCATTGTATTCCGTATGGTGAGTGCAGAGATCTCTAGACTCTTTCAGGAGAAAGGTTCTTTTCTATTAAGAAACGAGGCATTCCATCTTAGTCCACAGGAGTGACAGCGCATCTACATTTTGATTCTTAATCGATGATAGATGTAAATGTTTGTGGACGACAGCATCCACTTACTACCGTACCGAACCGTGTGCTAGTTTGGCATCCTTATTTTATTTAATAAAATAATACAGATAATATATCATGTCCTTTGAAATATAAAGAAAAAACACAAGCGGTTAATGTTAGATACAATCTGAAAAACTAGCGTAATAAAGTATCAATAACTTATTGATTATGTTCATTGTTTCTCATTAATACGCTGCTTGCAGTCTGGCGTAAGCATTTTTTTTAACACATTAGGTACGTCAAGTGGCGTCATGCCGCGTCGACGGCGTCATCGAAGCCTGCAGCTGCACTGTCGCCGCTGGGGATTTATGTCGTTATCAGACCCGAGTATAAATTACAACGCGGCGCAATAATTTAGGAGGACCGTATACGAATCATTACCCGCTGCGTTACTCGCTTGCTTCCCTATTACGTGTAGTTTAATTCCATGTTCATCCTTTACTGTTACTTTATTTTATTTACATTTTAACTTTACAGTTTTTTTTTTTAATTTTAGATACATGAAAATTACATTAAACCTATTTTAAAATTACCTAGCTTTAAAAAATATTATAACGAAAATTTTATAGTTTCAGTCTAGTTGGTTATGAAAATTATCTGTTTCCTGGAAATAGATAATAACCGGACTTTCTTTAAAAATAATATCAGCAAATATTAAAAATATGAACGAAAAATTTCGGTGGAATACATATAGAAATTACAGACTGATACTTTGGGCATGGATGATGGGTGATGTGACTGTGGTCTTTTTGCCTGTAGAAATATCACACCACGGTTTCTATTTTTATGGAGTTCTTTATGTTCTCTCAGCTATATTTATTGGAATACCTTTGGTTTATTCCGAAATATGTATAGCACAATATACAAATTGCGATGTGATTTCTATGTGGAATTACTTTCCACTATTTCGCAGTGTTGGATATGGAACTGTTTTCCTGGTCCTTATTAAAATAACGTATATTTTAGTACTTTGTTCGTGGTATATAAATTATACTTTTCATGCCGCTATTGACCCACCACCGTGGTTTAGTTGCGATGCATTCAATGATACTAAATGTATGGTTAAACGAATCAATACTTCTATATTTCAACATTGTGTTGAGACACAAGAATTATACAAGGACTGTGACATGAAAACAGCAAGTAATTGCTTCTTTGAACAAGAAATTGGTGAAAATAATACCATGCAGTTTAATTGTGTATTTCAATGGAAGTTAATTATTAATAACTGCCTGATAAGCTTTGTAATGTTTATTTTATTTATGAGAAAAGAAAAAAATATTAGAATTGCAATTAAAGTATTAGTTGCATATGTATGCTTTGTATCGTTTATATTATTTTGTATTGCACTTTCTGCAAGCGGTGCATGGTACGCAACTAAAATGTCTATAAGATGGGAAGATAAGGACTTCAATTCTTGTATTGTCCCTTTAACTAGAGGAGTGCTTTGCCTGGGAACTGGTTATGGTATGATAAGTTTTTTATCAAATGATGTTCCGTTTCGTAGTCCTGCTACTATGACTTCCAGGGCAGTGGTGTTATTTGCCGTATTTTTTTCACTTATGTTCTCTCTTATTATATATAGCGGTATAAGAACAATGTCTTATTATCACGGCCAAGAAGAAAGTGTTTTGGAAGTCGGAGATTATTTATTTTTTCCGATATTTGCTTCTGTTTCAGAAATTATGATCTATTTCGAGAGACCGTTTTGGAGCTTTCTTTGGTTTTCTACAATATTTTTATGTTTATTCATTAATTTATTGATTTTGTTATATTATTTACATGAATTATTATCTAATACTTATTCTTTTGCCCAAAGGTATAAAAAATTATCTTGTGCTATATTAATTATATTTGTCTGCTTGATGTCCTGTCCCATATTTTGTTCGGATCTTACTGGAGCTTTTAAAGATTTTACCGAAATCGTTCAACTCATCAACAGTCTTTTATTTTCGATTTCCCTTTATTGGGTTTACGGGTATAACACTCACAACGTAGACATTATTTTTATGATTGGTGTCAAAGCAGGCTATTTCTGGAAAATTGTGTGGTGCATAAATCCTATTCTTTTAATGATTCTTTTATATATGCGATGTTCCAAGCTTGATGTTAATGAATACAGCAGTTTATATAAAATCGAAAGCTTAGGATTACCATGCAATATTCTTTTATTATATTTTTTGTTCAGTATTTATGGACTTACGCTCGTTGTAGGTGCATTATATGAATTACGAAATTTTTACAATTCCGACACAAAACTTGGTAATATCTTTCATGCAGTTGAAAATTGGGGTCCAAATGACAGATTATTATTTCGCAGCAGAAAAATGTTTGTACCAGAAATTATGACACGGGAATTCCTATATAGACAAGTTAGAATTCATGGTTATTTAAAAAACGAACGCAAAAGCAACATGACAGAACTTGTCGATAAATCAAGGAGTATTTCTACTGAAAAAATGGAATGGAGCGCTTTGACTTCAAACTGAGAGGTAAAATGAAATCCCTTAACAAGTCCATAACTTTGAATAACTTACCTGACTTTTCATTGGATCTGTATTAATTTGACACATATATTGACCCCTATCTTCCTCCTGGACGTTTCTAATGTGTAGGTTCCAAACAGTCTGGCCGTTATGCGACACGGCCACCCTGTGATTATTAGTTATTACATGAACATGTATTGCTTGTATGGCCTTTGTATCCGCTTTTACCCAACCTACCTGTGAGATATAAAAAAAATATCCTATTAAATGTTTTTAAAAGTAACGGTGTTTTATTAGTAATAAAATTCGCTTTCATTTTTTTACAACATTAAAGTCATTTCATTTAATGAAAATGTTTAATTATAGAATAAAGTGAGTACTGTTTAATATTATGTACAACGGTTATTACAGGTGTTTTATTTAAAAACTAATTTTATAATTATAACGAGGAAACTTACACGGTAGCCACCAAGGTTTTGCACAAGACACCTAAAAGTAGCATCACGACCAATGACTATTGTTAAATTCGACAACGGCTCTGCAAATTCCGGTTGAAAAGCTTCCCCTAAAACATTTAAGTCAGAAAAATATCTTATAACAGATATTTCAGCTCACAAACATAATACTTACCTACTAATTTAGTGTCAAGACGCAGCAAGAAAATAGCAAGTAAATATGATAACCACCAAGGCTGCTCCATATTTACGGCCACACAAGACCTGCTACGTTTTCGTCAAATTTTAAAACTTGGGATGTCCATATGAATCTGGAATTAAAAAACAAGCAAACTTCTTCTATATTTACACTATCCAAAGTACAGAGTCCTTTAGTGGAGGCGTAAAAGAAAAGAAGATTTTGTTGAGTATTAGCTGAGTCAGAATTAGAGAATCCTACGCTCTTTTTAGTACCATGAGCTACGAAGTATCCCAAAAAAAAAAAATTCAAATTCAACAAAAGGCGGTGCTAATACATAGTATAGGGTATAAATATAGAAGAATTAATACCCCGAATTTGGAAGCTATTATGTGAAAACTTAACATAAGATATGCAGGCAGTCGATGGATGCAGGTGGCTCAGGACCGTGCTTTGTGGCATAGCTTGGGGGAGGAATATGTTCAGCAGTAGACTTGTAAAAGTATGTAATAATGATGATGATGATGATGACGTTAAAACTTTATTATTTTTAGTTCTTTAAACTAGGCCTTTACTTTTCATTAAAAGTTTAACTTTTGACTCTTTTGTATTGTTTAAGGAATATTAATAATATAATGTTAAAGCTCAAGGTAAAATCTACATATTTTTATATCACATTAAAAATTTCATCGCCTAGCTTGTCCATGTGTATTAGATAACAAAATATAATTTTTATAGGACCAATCATGAAGTATGACCTATTTCGTAAAACATCATTAATATAAGTTCAAAATTGACAATAACATCGCAAAACATACATTTGATTTTTTTTTATTTTTATAAATAATGCAAATTGACCTCAAAAGGTAACAACTAGAATGTTGTCTACATAGTTACATTAAAATTTTCATACCCTGTTTTACAACACTTAGGAATTGTTTCATAAAAATTTACTTGCCGTACCTCAGATGTCGGAAAAGGAAAAATGGGAATAAGCGGAATAATATATATAAAGACTATAATCATATAGGATACAGTGTCAAAATTTCAAAATATATAAAAATAGTCGTTTATTCGTCTACTAAACGTGAAAAATAATAAAATTTGCCGCAATCAGAGGATTTTTTCATACGGACTGATAAAGAAAAAGAAGAAAGTAAGCAAATTTAGTTCTTTTTTCCTACATCCCGGGCACATTATCTGGAATTACAAACAGTTGTCAATTTATTGCAAGTGCATTTAAAACTAACTACATAAGTTGTTATAAAACTCTTACTGCGAAAGATTCCTTTCTTCCCACATTTTAACTGAAATGCCGAGCTATAACTATTACACATAATAAATATAGTTTTTCCATAAACTTAAGGGAAAATAACATGCGTACATTCAATTTGATATCTCTGATGTGATTATAAACACTTACAGCTATTCTCGATTTAGAATCAAAATGCACATTCGTTGTCACATCAGAGAAAAAAGATGGAATAACTATCTATCAGTAAAAAGGATTTCCGGTTCACGTCACTAACGGTATAAAACACAACAACGTTAGGCTGATATTTTACGCTAGTGTTCTGTATTATTTTTTTTTAAACAACGTTACCCCCTCACTAGGATTTTCTCCTGTGTCATGGAGGCAGTTTACAAACATAAATTGCACAAGGGCAAACATCCAGACCCGGAACAATTATTTGTAGGCCATACAAATACTTGTTCCGTGCGGGATTCGACTCCGCGGCCCCCAGCGCAACAACTGATTGCTAAGCCACTGCGCCACGGAGCCGTCAAGAATTAGAGTACAAGTATTAGAACAAGTATTAGAGTAGATACAAGTACACAAGAAATAATTGTATGGTTTATAAATAATTATTCCGGGTCTGGATGTTTGTCTCTGTGCAATTTATGTATGTAAACTGTTAACACGTTAAAGGAGAAAATTCTAGATGGGGTAACGTTTAAAAACCTATTCCTTATTGCCTTAAAATACAAACATTGTATTTGTATGGGAAACTATGTACTGTCATATTATTCTACTCTTGTTCTGTATGCATCACGAACCTTGAAGCAAAAGCTGAAGCTGACTGAAACTGGAAGTAAGTGACTTAAGTACGGACTAAATGCAGCACCTTCAAGATGCATATTTTTCCAATGACTATTGCAGACTAAGGATTATAATGAAACATCAGCTACTTTTTCAATTTATATCCCAAATCTTTAACAAGCAATTTTTTATCTCTTGGATAATATACAAACTCTTGAGTTCTTACGAAATCATCATTTGCCTCAATTATGCAAAATAAAAATGTTCGTTAAGGAAGAAAGTAAATTAAATAAAACGAACACCGGTATTTTTTTTTTTTGATTCTGTATTCGTATGCAACAAAAATTTAAAGAACATTCACATTTGAATTTTATTTGCAATAATATATTAATTGGACATTCATTTTAGTTATAAAAGCTAAGCTACTATGCAAAAACTTTAAAAACAATAAACTGTTTTACTTGCTACCACTAGCATAATTACAACTTTTCTATATTGACTGTACGTACACACAAAGGGCTATTTGGGTCTATGTGACATATTTCGATTTGATCAGTCAATAATGATTCAGTGTTCTGAATATATAAAAGCTATCTACAGGGGTATATTGGAGTGGCAACCCTTACACGGAGTGTCTAAAAGTCGATCGAGTATATTCAAAAATGAGTACGGATGCGATCTCGCACCGGTAACTACTTTTCCGTGATAATGCTTGAGAAAAATGCGAAGCGCAGTTCAACCCTGTCAATAGAGCGGACTATCAAAATATTGGAACGTTCTGAAATACCGTAGTTTTGTATACAAAAGTTTCATTGAATGTGTTATCTTTATCACTCCAGGTACTTTATGTTAAAGATAAAAAAATATCAAGGGTTTTGTGCTTTAATATTTTTTAAATTAAGACAAACTACAACTGATCACCAAACATTGAAGTCACTTTGTTATATAAAAACAATATTGTTACATTAACTCAATAACGCATATATTAACAATATTTATCTATATATAAAAGAAAACGTTCTGCGTGACTAACTCATCTATCAACACAGCCTAAACCACTAGACCTAAAAATCAGAAATTTGGCCATTAGCTGCCTTTTATGATATGGGCATCAACTAAGAAGTGATTTTGAAAAGTAACACGCGTTTAAGGATTTTTGGATACTCTACCCCTAAGGGAAAAAATGGGGGATGAAAGCTATTATAAAATTCTAAACTATTTTAATAAGGTTCAATTAATATATTTTTGTTGATACAAATTGAAACAAAAACAATATAAAATAAATAAAGAAGGTACAATTGCTGGTCTTATCGCTCTGGATTCGACTTCTTCTAGACAACGTTATTAGAATTGTTCGTAACGAATGACTAATGAGGAAGGTGTACATAGATTATACAATTGAAGAAAAAAATATAAATAAAATCACAAAATGATAACAGTTGGAAAATGGGACAGATACAAGAGAGAACGGGAGGTATGATGTGGATATTTTAGTCCCAAGTAATAAGATAATTAGGTTTTTGAAAGAAAAAAGGAATTGAGCACGTTGAATATGTAGAGGTAAAAAGTTCCACGTTACTCTGTAACAGAATATTGTTTATATAAGAAGGAGGATGGATGTAGAGGAGTACGAAGAGAAACAATGTAAGGGAGGTTTATACTATTCGAAAAGTATAAGTCGTGACTTAAAATCTGTGACCATTCTTTTCTAAATATAAGAAATTTTCCACGTGATAGTTTGAGCTCTCCGTATTATGTAATCTCATAATAAGAGTGGATCATGACTGACTGTACATTACAAATTAGACGCAGGTACCACCGCATGGAGAAAAGCTGGTCTTTATATAAAAAAATCCGGAGTGCGTGTGTTTGTAATACGGAGAAGTATTACGAAAACACGCACTCCGGATTTTTAAACTGCTTGATTGATTTTGATAAAAATATTATAAGGTACTTATGGGGTCACCTGGATAGTTTTTAGCTATAGTAGAACCCAATACGAGTAGATAGTGTTATTGTTAAGATCCAGAAATCACCGATCAATTAACTTAGAATTTTTTTGTATATAAAGATAACCAATCTAATCCCCTTACTGAAGGGAACTTTATTCCATATAAACATAATCCATACTTGACAAAAACCATAAATTTTAAACAATTTTAAACAAAAAATGTTACAGGTACGTTACAGTCAAATGCTGAGGACTAAGACTGTGATTTCCGTGACCATCACAGCCTATTAAAGTTTACTTTTGAACAGTATAATTAAAAGAACTATAGATTGCCTCATAAGGGGATATTTGCTAAAGTTGCCACGCAAGGCGCTGCTGTCCATCTTCTTATTAGTTTCCTTCTGTCGACTCTTACGACACCCATATGGGGTAGTGGGTATTCTTACACCGCCATTACACGGTCAAGAATGTGATTATACTGTAATTATACTAGCTTGTGGCGGCGCTGTCGTCGCGCCACAAGTGAAACACATCGAAGCCTAAATCGCACTAACAAAGTTCCGAAGTTAAAGCAGCATATTTAAAATAGCTCTGAACTACCGATCGGAGCGTTGGCCGCTTCCTTTCCCCCCGCGGGAGATCTCCCCTTTTCCTTCCACCCGCCACAGTGGTGACCCCGACGTGATATGAACACGCAACCAACAACCTTCGGAAACTACAACTTCAAATCTTCGTCATCATCCTCAAATACGCCATTCATTCACTCCCGAGCAGATATTTTCTGCAGTCTTCACATTCAGCAAGCCATCTAGCTTTACAAAGGTTCATCGCAGCACTGGAATAATAATGCTTTCTGTTCCTTCAAGTTACTCTCTGCGCTACAGTGTTCGGCACGGCTCTAAGCCTTACTGCTAGCCTCTGCTTCACGGCACTCTCGCAGATTACTTGCCTTTTTCTCGACTCACCGTAGACTTACAAGGCAATTCCCCACTTTCCCCACACTTACAAATTCGTCGACATCTAGACTGCATTATCGACCTCCGGTCTGAGCAGGGGGGTGATGTGGCGGCGCTGTCGTCGCGCTACAAGCGAAACACATCGAAGCCTAAATCGCACTAACAAAGTTCCGAAGTTAAAGCAGCATATTTATCCCATCCGTCATATCCACGACTTCTCGTATCAACTCACAGGCTGTTCTGTCTTCTCTACCATCGACTTAGTCAAGGCGTACAATCAGATTGCTGTCAATCCAGATGACATTATGAAAACGGCGATCACGACTCCATTTGGATTGTACGAATTTCCGTTCATGAATTATGGTTTAAGAAACGCAGCACAGACATTCCAGAGGTTCATTGACGAGGTGTTGCTAGGACTCGACTTCTGCTACGGATATATAGATGACATCTTGGTATTTTCGTCATCCATCCAAAAGCACAAGAACCATCTACGGCAATTCTTTGAACGCCTAAATCAGTACGGCGTCGTGGTAAACACTGCCAAGTGTATACTTGGCCAACCAGAAGTCACGTTCCTGGGATATCACGTCTCAGCTGCAGGTACCGAAACCACTAGAGTCCAAAGTCGAAACTATCAGGCAATACCCCGTTCCAAAAACGGTCAAAGAATTAAGACGTTTCTTAGGCATGCTAAACTTCTACCGTCGCTTTGTTCCCAAGGCAGCCAAACTTCAAGCACTAATGAATGACGTTTTCAGTGGCTCAAAAATCAAAGGGTCTCATCCGATAGTCATGACTCCGCAATTACTTCGAGCCTTCGAAGACTGTAAGGAATCATTATCTCAAGCAACTCTTCTCGCTCATCCAGACCCAGCTGCAGAACTAGCAATAGTGACAGATGCGTCTGAAACTACCATAGGCGCCGTGCTTCAACAACGGAAAGGTAAGGATTCAGAAGCACTTGCTTTTTACTCCCATAAGCTCAGCAACGCACAGCGGAAGTACAGACCCTACAACCGAGAGCTACTGGCTGTCTACGAAGCAATTAAGTACTTCCGCCATATGGTCGAGGCCAGAATATTTACATATTCACCGACCATAAGCCTCCTATCTTCGCTTTCTCAAAGAGCAAAGCCAAGTACACCCCAAGACAGTTCAGACACCTTGACTACATTGCTCAGTTTACGACATACCTGAAATACTTACCTGGTAAGGAAAACTTAGTTGCTGACGCACTTTCTAGAGTCGAGGAGATCACTACAGCTGTGGACTACGACGATCTTGCACGAGCTCAGGACAAAGATCCAGAACTGCAAAATCTACTTCTTCATGGCTCAACCCTGCAATTGAAAAGGATCAACACTATGAATGGCAACTTACCTCTCTACTGCGACACTTCTGTGCAAGCGTCACGTCCTTATGTTACTCCCCAGTTCAGGAAACAAGTTTTTGATACAATACACAGCTTACACCATCCTGGAAGTTCAGCTACTGTGCGATTGGTCTCACAAAGATACGTATGGCCAGGGATACGTAAAGATTGTAGAGAGTGGTCCCGACAATGCTTGTCATGCCAAAAGAGCAAAACCACCTGTCATACCATATCCCCGCTTACATCTGTCATCTTCATCAATTCTGTCTTCTGGTTACAGATATTGCCTTACCGTCATCGACCGTTTCACGCGATGGCCTGAGGCATACCCCATGGTGGACGTCACGGCGGAGACCTGCGCAGCTACTGTGGTGTCCGGCTGGATAGCCCGATTCGGCTGTCCTGCACTGGTGACTACAGACCGTGGTCGCCAATTCGAAAGCCATCTCTTCAAAGCTCTCACAAAGTTGGTTGGTGTGCGTCACTTACGCACAACCGCCTATCACCCAGCTGCGAATGGTATCATCGAACGACTTCATCGCCAACTCAAGGCAGCGATCATGTGCCACACATCATCACAGTGGACGGAAGCCCTTCCACTGGTTCTCTTGAGCATGCGCAACTCATGGAAAGAGGATCTCCAAGCTACTCCTGCTGAATTGGTATATGGTCAAACTCTCAGCTTACCAGGCCAATACTTATCTCCAATAGACGACTACACCACGGCAGACGTCACAGAGTACGTAACACGTCTACGATCCTGCATGGCTAAGCTCACTCCCAAGCAGACATCATGGTACACCAGCACGATAACGCCATTCTACATACCACGGGACCTCCACACATCCTCTCATGTTTTACTTCGCCGAGATCACGTTCGAAGCTCACTCGAACCACCCTACGACGGACCCTTCAAAGTACTGGACAGACAAGCCAAGTACTACACTATAGACATAAGGGGAAAGAGAAATAACGTCTCTGTTGACAGACTAAAACCAGCGTACATGGCCAAAGAAATCAAAGACCCGGAACCCAAATTCCCTACGGAAACTATTGCCAACAAGGAGAAAATCACGCGGAGTGGCGTTTCGTAAGAGTGAGATTTCCCGACTACTATCGAACGTAGTTACGGTCTGGCCAGGGAGAATATATGGCGTAACTCGCTTCTGTTGGACCCCACATAAATCCGTTAGGCTTATGAAGATTGAGCCACGCTCGAACATCACGCCACCGGAGCGAAGCAATGGCGCGACCTCGATCGGCAACGCACCGCACCTTCGTCAGCGCGCGAGCCCGACCGCCGTTCATTCCGCCTGCAGCTAGCACAGAAACAAGACGCGCGCGCTACTCACCGCAGTTAACTTATCTTGTACGCGAAGTTAATTTCACTCTAGTAAAATTATTGCCAGTAAAAGTTATTTTTACATCGAATAATATTACTTCATTCGTAGTTACGTAATTCTTTATCTTATCCTATATTAGTATTCTGTTATTTAAAATATAAACGGTTTGGTGGCAAGGTATTAACTTATACAACTCTCGCCGAACCACCATACTGGTAACCCATATTGGTGGATGTGGCGGCGCTGTCGTCGCACCACAAGCTCTTCATAAACATATTATTGGAAAACAAATTGTAACACAACAGTGAATGTTTTGCTGCTTGCCAAGAATTAGTAACAAGATGGGAAATCCATCTAGATGGATGGGCTTGTTTACTGTCATATACATGTGCCACTATACAAGTCCCGGGTAAAAAGGAAACAAGTTAAGTTTAAAATTAACCTAAATTCAAGAAAATTTGTATCCATTTCGCATCGTTCAGTAAATCAGTCATACTCGTACCAGTTGCTGTTATTATGTGGTAGCACAGTTCTTTCTCCATTCCAGTTCAGTCTCAGGCGCTGCATAGCATTACGAAGTATAAACTTTTACAACCGTTCAATTTTATTATAAACTAGCTGTGCTCGCGACTTCGTTCTCATACAAATTTTGTTTGTTTGAAGTTATATTACTTTGGTTATTTTATAAACTACACTACAGTTTGAATTCACACAGTAATAGTATAGATATTTTTTAATGTATAAAGAGTTACTACATAATACAACTGATCAAGTGCATTGATGACTTAAACACCGACTGGTACTGTTACGCTATACAAAAATAAACTCAAGAAGAGATTACGAGTATGGAAACATTGTATTGCAAACTTTAATGATAAGGAGAAAATGATAATTCGTCTGTCGTGTAGTGACGGCGTAACTAAATCCAGAAACCTGTTATATACCAATGGGAAACTCCTGAAAAATCAGAGCCAGGCTAAAACTCAGATCGGCTACGGGCAGCAGTGTCAAAAGTGCGAGACGTCTTGTATTGTGATAGCCTGCCAACCGTGGCATTTTTGGTCGCAAATTAATGCGACAAAGTTCAATCTCTGATCCCTCAAAACTTAAGATGCACTCTTGCAAGTTGCATGCTTATTGTTATTGCAAAGTACTCTGTCATGATCATAACCGCTGGCAATATCTGTGTCTACCGTGTTCTTTTATGAAAAAGTTACTTTTTTTAAAGACAACAAATTTGAGCCGAGTACCAATGTAAATATTTAGAGGATATTTATTAAAGTGAACAGTTACATCTGTCGGTAAATTTTAAAGAAATAAAATAATTACCGATACTTTAACATATTAAGTCTGTCCGGTATAAGCAATATTTCATATGCGTATTATAAACAACAACATTTTAACAATTTCCTGTAAATAAGTAACTTTAGAAAAGTTATACAAATGAACAACTTGTTGAATATATAATGAAATAAAGCTTTTAGAAAAATTTACTTCGCAAATATCCGCGTTATAAAATAAAATGATGTGTCTTACCTAGTATGAAGAGCACCTCCCGCCCTCCCTCAATTGCGTGCACTATCCCCGTCACCACTAATCCCAGCACTGCTACTCCCAACGCCACTACACTAGGCAAGATACACCACTGACGATAATACGACACGTGTTTCGCCTCTACACGAGGCATCCTCATTTGATATAGACTCTACGGTGGCTAACCGTTAGAGTGTTTGCCAACCTGCTCGCCAAGAGTGAAAATTATGGAAATATATCCCCCATGATTAAATTTTCGAAGAGACGGCTCCCAGTCCACGGCGGCCCCGCTATTCCTAGGTACGGTGGCGACCATGGTAACGGCGGGGAGGGGTTGCTAAGAATCTCCGGTGGAGGTTCGGTTGCCACCTACGACGATTCGACCTGGCAACTTATAACGCACGCACCCTGAGTACTGACGAGAAGATCCTGGAGCTGGAAGAAGGGATAGACAAGTTGCGATGGAATATTATAGGATTATCTGAGGTCCGAGGAGAGAGGGACGATATGGTAATCCTCGAATCCGGCAACTTGGTCTATCACCGAGAGGGCGACGATCTGTCCCAAGGAGGTGTCGGGTTTATCGTCCACAAGTCCCTCGTTAAAAACGTTGTAAAGATTGAGAGTGTGTCGACGAGGGTTGCGTACCTTATACTCAGAATCACCAAACGGTATTCGTTGAAGGTCATACAGGTTTACGCACCAAACTCGGCACATCCCGATGCGGAGGTAGAGGAAATGTATGAGGATATATCTAGCGTCATGCATTCCACCAAAACCCATTATACGGTGTTAATGGGAGACTTCAACGCAAAACAAGGCAAAAGACAGAACGGTGAGCTGAAAGTAGGGAAATTTGGAAAAGGGCAACGGAACGAAAGAGGGAATTTTTATGATGAACTCTTTCTTCCAGAAGCAGCCCCACAGGAAGTGGACCTGATCGAGCCCCGACGGTTCGACAAAAAATGAGATTAACTTCATTATGACGACCAGACAATATTCAGTGATCGCGAGGGTGAAAACCGGCAGCGGTAACCGAATGGTGAGAGGCACACTGAACCTAAACGTTGGAGAGGTCACGTCTAATAAATTCAACGCTCCTTCTCCCCCGTGCTCTAATCCAAAGTCCCGAAACCTTTCAGCTCGAGCTTCAAAACCGTTTTAAGTGCCTAAGAGTATCGTGGTAGTTAAGAAAATTTACCCACGCACACTACGCGAAAAATATTAGTTCGATCTGTGCCAAAGCCAACGATATTATCATAGTACTTTTAAAATTTGACTTACTACGTGCTCGATGGGAAAAAAAAAACAGTGTGAGCAAAATTACTCTTAAATATTTCAAAATTTTAAGGTAAATAAAATTTGGGTTCGTCAAAACGAACGAATTCTTAACTGTTCCAAAAAAGAACCTTCTCAGAAATATGAAGGTGCCTTTGCCCAGTACTGGAACGTATAAAGGTTATAATGTGACTATTTGATCGAAGTACAACATTTAACACTTTACCCTTGTAATAGATAGGTCTTATTTAAAAAAATTGATTTGATTGACACTCTAGCTCTATATCACAACGTTTTTATGGTAAATATATTATGTATTTTAAGAAATACATAATGAGGGTTTACCTTAGTGTATGAGTTATTCTGCTTGTGACTAATATAAAGATCAGCAGCAGATATAAAGACACATCTACAGGAGAGAATAACACAACACGTCTTTTTGCATTTAATTTGCAAAATACCACCTATCGATGACACCAGTTAACTATTGTACTTTTCTAACTGAGATGCTGCAAACATATTCTTTTTTTATTACTGTGTTTGTAATAAAAGAATACCATTAGAAAACATTATTTTACATTATTTAATAGCAATTTCTGACATTAGATATAAATTCATTCATAACTCAACCACATTGAACAAATTAGTTACATTACGTTTCAAAACAATAGTTTTAACTTTTGGTAGAACTAATCGACTTAAATAAAAAAAAAACTAAACACTACACGATGATACGCTTTATGATTATTTCAGCGATTTTTTTGGAAAAAAAAGGTACTTTAGTCGTGATACGTTCATAAACAAACAGACAGACAAACAGATAATTCTAAATATGATAGAAATGTATTTAACTACTTCTTTTTAGTTTCTCCCAATATTTTTTGTCACAAAAATAGATAATGTACAGACTTCTGCAATTTACAATTTTATTATATGTACAGATTTTCCTTCTAGACGCATGTGGACTTTTATTTTTTATACATATCCTTCGTTTATTTCCTTTTTCTTTAATTTCTACGATAAATTTCGTATATACAGAAGATACGTATAAATAGAAGGTGTCGGGTAGTCATTATCATCATCATAATTATTGCAACCCATAACACATCCTTCACTGAAGCTTGCCCAAGCAATGCAAAATGTACTGGTTATACACTCTTGTTTTTATATTTTTAGTTGTTCGTAACGAAAATATTTGCCGTAATCTTCCAAAAGCTGCCCAGCCGAGTTGGATTTGTCAATTGTTCTCTCGGTCGAAGTTCTCGGAAGCAGGAGAGTTTATCTCAGGTACTTTTTCTACTTTTTAAACTTTACATACTTCATCATCGAATTCAAGCGAAGTGCTCTCAACAACTACAGGTATAGTTGTGACATGGACATTTCACATTATCTTTGTTTTTTCAATATACATTTTAAGATCATTTCGTTGGAAGACACTATTGAGATCATTAAGAATAGTAATGGCATGCTCCAGGGGTTCATGCCTTTATCGTCGACAAATCGAAGGTTTTTTTTTATAGGAGAGGGGGCAAACGAGCATGCGGCTCACCTGATGGTAAGTGACTGCCGCCGCCCATGAACAACTGAAACACCAGGGGAATTGCAGATGCGTTGCCGGCCTTTTAAAAAGGAGTAGGCTCTTTTCCTGAAGGTCCCTAAGTCGTATCGGTCCGGAAAAATCGCTGGTGGTCATCAATTCCACAAGGAAGTTGCGCGGGATAAAACTTTTTCTTAATCGCACAGTGGTGGACCGCCAATCATCCATATGATTTGGATGGTATCGCGTTAATAAGTTTTGTCGCGATGTGCGATGGTTAAATTGGGCGGCTGGAATTAGTCAGAACAATTTCTCAGAGCACTTCCCGTGATAGATGTGAATGATGTACTCGCCAATAGTGGTAATGATGTATTCTTTCCACTCCAGTAGTTTGAAAACATCG